GCGAGAGCGAGAGCGAGAGCGAGAGCGAGAGCGAGAGCGAGAGCGAGGGAGGGATAGACTTAAAGTAAAATAAGAATAAGGATCTCTGAAGTGAGCCGTGTCATAGTCAAGCAAAATCAAACAAATGATGATTCTAGGCGATTGGAGCCGACTTGAAAGGAAAATCCAAATCAAAAAAAAGAGCGAAAGCGCTCCGCGGTCCCTCTGCGCTGTGCTGCTGCGGCCTCGAAGCAATTGTAAGGTGGTCTCATCGGCATGAATCACCTCCACGCCGCGGGTCGAGGTCGGGTCTGCGACGGGCGAGACCAAAACCCCGGTTTGGCAGTAGAACTGGGAAAAAAAGTGCGACAGCTTTCAGACCATCTTTCTATATCTTTCATAGAGAGATAGAGAGATTGATAGAGATAGATAAATATACTTAAAGAATTTATATAGATAAGTAAGTTGTTGTCATATCCTCAATGTTGGCAAAAATAGTCTTGGTGTTGATGACTCCAGTCAGCCTGTGGAGAACTTTGACAGAAAAAACAAGAACCATGCCTCAATGTTTGGCATTGCTGCATGGTGCGCATGGGTGCAAGTGCCACTGTGCTACTGCATTTTTCTTGCACGCCTAGTGTGTGTCAACGGGCTGGAGAGTGTTCACTTGGGTTTGATTGAAAGGTTTGCTGATGTTGCTTGTGTGGCGAAGAAGAATATATAGCTGATGCCGACGAAAACTTACATGATGCCTATATGCATATGTGTGTCTATGTGTGTGTGTGTGAAGCTCAAAACTACAAGTAACATGTTTGAACCAAACACACATCGACGACGGAGAGCAAATTACAAATGTCAGGCCTCTCTCAGACTTGGGTGGAAGACATTCCGTGAAAATGGTACACTGGTACACTAACAATCCTGAAAATCGAAGTTGCTCGTTGCTAAGGTCGAGTCGGTCATCTGCCACTCCCTCCAACACTCCCCTGCACCGATTTCTTCCGGCGCAGTCGCGCCAGTCGCCGCACCAGTGGCGTTGCTTCGGGGTCGCTTCCTCACAGGAACCTGCCCAGCTAGCAGGGTCGCCGACATCTTCCGGTCGCCTACCAGCCGTTTCAGCGGCCACACCCTGCCTCGGGGATCGTTGAAGGGCCTGATTCACCGAAGCGCTAGGGTGGACACCAAACGTGTGGCCCAATGTTTCAGAACTTCACTGGCTAGCTGCTAGCTCTCTCACCCTCATTCCTTCAAAACTAAGGTGCCAACCTGGTGTGAAGTTCGGATCTGCCTGAAAATAGCTCGAACAAACACTGGGCAACAAACATAAAGCCATCACCGAAGAAGATCTGTGCATCACATGCTCACATGGTCTCTCAATCACCGTCTTTCTTTTTTGCGGATCACCGGATCGTTTTCTCCGCCAACGCGTCGCACCCGCCGCACCGGACTCGCGGCACTTCACCTCTTCGCCGGTCTCGTTCTCGTTGACGACGTCTCTCAGCTTCGCCATGAACTCGACGTCTGCCAAACGAGACTGGGCTGAAGCCTCAGAGGTCTGGCAGTCTGGAGTGTTTATGCATATTCTTTGATCATAACATATGCTTTAGCTTAGAACTATATGCTTGTCAAGTAAAATGGCGAGGTGCGTTGGTTCGTTCGTTGGTTGTTCTCTTGATCCATCAGGCTACCCAAGAAGCTATATGATGGGTGACCGGAATCCATTGTCTTCACGTGACATGACTCTTACGACGGAAAAGCGCGTTTCATGATCGGATCACTCTTCCAGAAGCGATGGGTGTTGCTTCGCCAGGTCTTTAAGAGCCTGCTTTCCGGAGTTGGTCGGGGATCTTCGCTCTGCGCTCGATGTCAGACCCACTATAAATGGCACGTCGTGTTTCCGGAGCGCTCTCTGCACAGCGACTTCAAACCGCGCCGGTGGCGTTTCCACTGCTCTCATGTGTATATCTGGAATTGCAGGTTCGAAGCCAGGACGCTTGAAACAGAACAGCCTGAAGCCGCTGTCGTCAGCTCCCTAGTCCTGGATTCGATCACAAAGTTCTTACTCTACGTACTCCAGTAGTACAGCAGTTTTCCGCGGAAGAACATTTCAATGGCAGAGTCCGTTTTTTGCAGTTCGCTCCGGTCGATTCCGCCACACAGTCAGAATTTGAAAGGGTCGTTGATTATGTTTGGGGGCGCTCCACTGTAGAGGGACGCTGATTCAACAGGGCTGAGGAAATTTATAAACTGCATTGCGGATTACGCATCGGAGCTAGTCAAAAGAGAGCACTGTAAGAGCGCGGCCTTTTCTTGATCTGTCTGACAGCATTCAACTGCCTTCTTGCACCTTAGGGAAAGTGACAGTGGAGAGAAGCTGATGTTGCATGAGAAAATCGGTGAAACCGATGAAATCTGAATCCAAGAAGAAAGTATCTCATATGGACCAAAGTCCCACTTTGTCCCTGCCAGCACTGTTCAATCGAAGTGGTTGATTTGCGGTGCTTGAGCCGGCCACTCTCAATCAACAAACACATTGTTGCAGAAGCTCCGGGGGGGTTAGGCACATGAGGCACCTATGCACCAAGCAACTATTGGTCGTGAAACTATAATTTCTTCATGCGGGATTCAAAACCCCAACCAACGAGCAGGAATTCTCCAAAGGATCCAAAGGAAGATGGGCCCCGAGACCTTTGGAGAGCCACTCTGCCAAGCCACTCTTCGACTGCCAAGCCTTTGTGCCCCTGGCAGATCGAAGCGGCAGAAACACGCGTCACATGCATGTTTGTGGAACGAACCGGGTGGAACGCCCTCTCATACGCCTGTGATTTTCCCGACTTTTTCTCTGCGTGAAACAACGCCCGTTTTCTAGGCACGAGAACAGGGTCACCCAGGTCGCAGGTCGTTGTCGTTGTGCGAAACAGCATCCGATTGGTCTCCAACCCGGTTTGCATGCCTACGTGCGCCCAGGGCGGATCACTCTGGATCACTCTGCCTGCAAAACCAGGAGGTCGACCAAGCGAAGGTGACACTGGGCCAGCAAAGATGATGACGAAGGCTCTTTGTCCTGAAGCCAATCATGGCAGCACGATTGCAGCACGTGTACCATGTACCCTAGTTGAGTTACAAGGAGTAGAAGTCGAGTAGACGGAAAAAAGAATCTCCTGCTCCAGGCATTTCCTCACAAGTCTCAGTCTCAGTGCAGTTCAAAGAGAAACAGCTTGAAGTCTCTGCCTTGCTGTCTCCAATGTTTCCCACGCCTGGCGCAAGGGATGGAAGGTTCACACGAGAACCAGTCTAACTGTCTAACCGGCTCGTTTCTAAAGACTTCCCACAACCTCCCACTTCAGTTGTTACGGTTCATGATATGTCCATGCAAAGGAAAATAAGTCCTGTTCTTTTCTTTTTTTGCATGGAGGACGACCAAGAGACCCGACCACTTCCAAATCTTCCTCCAACTCCTCGTAGCTTGCACCTCGCAAAAAAAAATAGAAGAACAGGAGCTTGCACTGCCCGACCCCCACGACAACTGGCGCCGCGGAGGCGCCGCGCTCCGCCCACTCTCACCACTGGCCGACTCGACTGGACTCCGCACTGAGAACACCACGGGCACACGACTCCTCACCGCCACAAGCAGTCCCAAGAAGCCCCTGGCAGGGCCGAATCATGGACCACGTCCCGACGCCCAAATCAGCTGCCCGCGTCACTGGCCCCAACGGCACGTCGCCCTGCGGCCCCGGACGAAGGCCCAAATCAGGCGGTCCTGGAGCGATGCTTCGGCAGAGCGAGCTTTCTGCTCTTCACCAGCAATGCCTCAGCTGATGCCGAGCTGATGCTGAGCTGGGTAGAAGGAAGGAGCCCATTTGAGAGCCCTCAACAGATGCCCCCTGCCTCGTTCTGTCATGCGGAGGAGCGCACTGCCATATCTAAGCCTGCAGCAGTTTCACCCCATCGTTCGAACGTTCTAGAAGCACTTCGACCTCAACAAAATCCTAAGTGCTGCACCAGGGCAAACCCAATTGTGGATGGACCTACAGCATACAAGGCAGAGGCCCATCGATCTCCGTCGTGCACCTCCACGGCCCCTCGGCCCATCGTGACCGAGCTCGGCCCCCCACATCGCTGCCCAAGGCATCGCGGAGGCGTTGCACCTCCTCGGCACGCGCCTCCACGGCTGCTGGGTCGCACGGCTCGTCCTGCAAAGAAGATCGGATGGGCAGGAACGGCTCGGAGGATGAGGATGAGAGGTCTCCATCCCCCCCAAAAAAGGATGGGAGGGCTCTGTGAATCTTCGGTGAAGGGCAGGATTTCGATGTTTTTTGGGGTGCTAAGGCTGCTAAGGGGTCAAATCCAAGCAGGTTGGCATCGCTTCGCCTCCTCCATTTGCCCAGGAGTCTGCATCAATGCAGGGCGGGTGGGCTGCCAAATATTCTTTGGCCTGTTCCTCTTGCATCAGGGTATCTGTGGAACTCTGATTTTGGCATGGAAGCTCATCAAATCGTGACAAGAAGTTCTTCTACTGCAAAATGTGTTACATCCGCTGCTCTGCTCCCGATTAAAAGCTCCCTTTCTAATCCTTCCTACATATCTGTAGCATGCATGACGCTCAAAGCATCTCAAAGCGGCTGTGCAACTCTTCCACTGCTTTGATGGCGGGTGATCATGGTGTGGTTCAAGACATTTGAGTCAAAATGAAGGTATCCCCAACCAACGGAAGAGCCAGTGATCTTGCTACTCCGAGCAATAGGGGGTGTTTGCTGGGTACCTATCATATTCACATATGATCTTTCTCTTCCAAACCGGAGGCTTAGACTCAGACAAAGCTAACTCATGATCTTTTGCATCAGTCGGTCTACTCCACGCCCATTTTCACGTCTCGCAGGTCTTTTGCAAAGCCATCCATGAGTCGTTGAGGCGGCTACTTGCCATCCGGAGATAGCACCGATCCGAACCCAACTTCTGCAGAGCCCTCCAGGCCAAGCGGAGAAGATTGGAAGGCAGGAGACTCAACTGGGTGTGGGTCAAGACCTGTAGGCACTTATGGTGCCCTCCTTTGAACCTATTTTGAGGGGTCATGGCAACTAAACAGCCAACCAAGGCTCTTGTGACCCACACCCACTACTTCTTTTTGCCCTTCTTGGAAGCTTTGTTCAAGAGCCGCAGTTGCTTCCTCCTCTCTTCCAACCCTTCCACTGGCTCGTCATTGCGCTTCGCGAATTCCGGTTCCAGTTCTCTCGTCACCTTGATGCCCATCTGCTTGGCTGTCCGCATCAGACCCAGGCAAATGGTTCGTGTCGGAATGCCAATAAGCTGAGGATCCATGCTTTTCGCCTTGGCGATGTGATAGAGCTCTTTAAATGTAATATTTCCCACCGGCGGGCCGCCATTGCCCACACTGCTGCCTCTGGGTAGCCGCGCACACCGCAACAAAAACCAGGGCGAATAGGGCGAGCGGATGAAGAACTTGTACGTCCGATCCGTTCGCGGCACCAAGGTGGCCTGAATGGGCACTTCCGGTCGAACTTTCGTGGTCCGCGCATTGAAATCCTTGCAGAAGGCCACCATGTTGATGCCCAAAGGGCCCAACGCCTGACCCAGCTTGGGCGCGGCCTTCGCCACGGCGCCCGGCACGAACAAACGGAAGCGCCCCACAATGGACATCGGCGCCGCCCTTAAGGAGTCATGGCAGGTGCCCCGCGGTGGGGCTTGGGCGCCGCGCGGGCGGCGATGAAACAAGGAGTGAGTGGACGCGCCAAGCTGTTGAAGATGTGTGGAGAGATGTGCCGCACTGAACTGCCTTTTGTTGGGAGTCGTGAGACCAAGCTATCATCAGCCCTACTAGAAGGGGGAGCTTCAAGCATGGTGAGTAGATTTGGACCTGATCTGGAGCCCAAAGCCTCCAAAGGCACTGATGGCTTCCCTCCAATCAAAACTTCACAGTAGAATTCACTGTTCTTCCCTTCACGTGCAATGCAGCAGTGCAATGCAGCATTGCGCTCGAAACACTTGTGCACCGCATGTGGCTTGCCGATTCCTTTTTTCAAGCAACATCTCAGGTACCCTCGACGCAAGCAACTGGCTTCCTCAGCATGGGTATAAATGCTTCATAGCACTGCCAAAAAGTGTTGTATATCAAAGTCCTTCAGTTTCTGCAGTACAAGTCTCTTGCCACCATCACATCTTGCTACAATGGCATCCACTTCATCCTCAATGACGGCAGAGTATCGATCATCTCGTAGGTCCTGCAACTGACGGATGACTCTCAGGCAAAGCTGGGAGACTGACGGCTGGGTCGAAGGACACAGAGAGCATCTTGAAACGTCTTATGACAGAGCAAGCTAATCAGATCTTTAGATCATGCAGACAGATCAGGACAGCGGACAGTCTTCAGCCTTTGAAAAAAGGAAACAGGAGCAGCTGATATTTGTAGAATCACTCCACGGGAAAAACTCCCGGAACCCTTGAAAGATGCTTCAACAAAAAGTACAGAAGGGTCTTCCTGCGCCATGGATCCCTCCCCTCCCTGCCCTGCTGCTGTCCTCGTACGTCAGACCCAAGTCGCTCTTGGCCACAATATGATTCTTCAAGTGTCGCAGAGTCACCTCGGCTCCCCCGGTCGGTCTGCACAGCCGTCGAGCCAGAGCCACATGCACAGCCCACCCGGGGCGAAGTCGGGCAGTCACATCGGACGCAAAAGCCAAATCCCCACACAACAAGTCCCATTCCAAGATCTACAGAAAAAAGAAATCAGTCACCAGAAATCACCCTCACCATCACCCCCCCCAAAAAGAAGAAGACAAGTTCTCAAAATCCAAGCTGCTTTTCCCTTTCCATAGTCTTTGTACCGAGCCGTCACGAATTGCCGCACCAAGGGCACCGCCGCGCGCGTGAAGGCCTCGTCCGGTGCGCCCTTGGGCGATTCCTTGGGCGGCGAGGACGGGTGGCGTAGAACTGGACCGTTCGTTTCAAACGTCTCCAACTTCACTTCACTTCACTTCGCTTCATCTCCCCCTCCCAAAGAAAAAGAGCATCTCATTATAGCAGTCAGAACTATCAGAAGGATGTTGGAAGAAACTGAACCATCTTCGGACCAAAGCTGAAGAGCCCCAAACCCTCCATGTTCGGGGGTCGTCCGTCCGCGCTAAGCCCTGAGGTGCTCAGCACGAGGTGTCAATTCAGCTTGAAACTGCTTGAGAAGAAAACTGACATGGGGACACACCTCCCTCCAGCTGGTGAGTACCACAAACTGCGACAGTTCTTTAAATGCAGCAAGATTCAACAGGCTCGTTTGCCTGCGCCTGTCCAGTAGTATAAAGAAGCAGCAGGCAAAGAAGAGCTCCAACAAGGATTATTAGTCCAAAGATCACCTGGATCGCCAGTCCGGTGCTGAAACGAACGACCAAACTAGGACCCATGACCAAGTAGGAGATATTGTGAAAGCACCTGGTCGAGAGGTTGGATGAAACATCATCCTCTCAGACTGTTAAAACGTAACAAAACATCCTACTAGTAGCTTCTTGCTCCTAGTAGTAAGGCCAGGAGCCCCTAGTAGC